TTGAGCTTCCTCATACGGCCAGCAGTGAAGGACCACGTCCGCCGTGTGGTGGCGGTTAAGAATATCCACTACCCCATATCTTCCCGTGGGTGTCGTAAAAGGCAACAAAGGGAAACAGGCAGGAGATGGGCAGAAGCATCTTCCTGATAACAGCAAAAATTAGAATATACCCCCTATGAGCAATGACAATAAACCTAGCAAGCTAATTGATAGCAAGACATTTGGACAGGCAATCACCAAAACCAAATCTTTTTTCCTTCGAAGCACACAATTCAACTTAAGTTAATTAATAAATAAAAGCAGCCGACCGTAAGTTTTTTAATAAAACTTTTTGTCGACGACAGGTGCTGGACGCCGCGAACACGACCTCTAAACTCACGCCATCGCCGTAATGTATCCTTAAACATTTGTTAATCCAGCAAGCAGCAAGCAATGTCTTTTTAATGTTCGCCTATTTGGAGATATGATCATTTTCGACCTTTTTTGTTGCTGTCCTAATGAGACGTTTTTTCATAAGAGGCCAGCGTAAAGTTAACGTAGGAAGGCAGGTGTAGACTTCTAGACCAATTGCATGTGTCGCTTATTTATAAGAAAGAAATAAACATAAAAGTAAAATAGGACTTATGATCACAATACTACTGGTTAAAGTTAACGGACGAGAAATTACGTTTTTCGACACTGTTTTGTTTGGTCGGTTTGTATTTGTGAGTATAAAAAACTAGCCACTATAGCAAATTAACTTGCAAATTCCACACCTTATTGTTGTAATTTGAATTTTTTTAATATTTAAGACGATGATAAAGGCGGAACGCAAATAATTTGGTGTGACTTTATTTAGGTGGCAAATGAGCAAACAGTTAAAACTGATGATAAGTAGATGCCGATATTTGATTAAGGATCAAAACGGAGATGCGTTGTCACCCCTGAGAACTAAGATGCAATGGACTCGTTACCACTAAAAAGGGTATCCGGTTTGACTCACTGAACATAACATACACAACAACATAATTTTTCTAATTTACGTTGGTATTTTGTTCAAGCGTGTTCTGTCCTCAATCGTGCTGCAGTTGCTTGCAGCAAGGTTATACGTGGTATAGCCTTTCTGCAACGCCTCTGACAGCACGTCGGAGCTACATTATCCGAAATAGTAAACGATAACGCAAGGGAGACTGCACATGCTCGTAATCACAGAGAAATTCAATTAGAAATTTAATAGTCAGTAACCTATGCTTTGATCATAATCAATTCCAAAAACCAATTACTCTAATCATTCCTTTTTCCTGTAACATATATTTAAACTGTCCGATTATTTGAATATTATTTTCGTTAACATGCAGCACGTGCCCTTAGTTAACTGACCTGTGTCTTGACTAACAACGAAAATTAAGTCCTATTTTTATGCAAATAAAATGCATGTTACAACAAAGAGGATACATACCCGCATGTTAAAGTAACTTTTCGGTAATCCTTGTTCCTTTTGACATTAAGAGTCGAATTTCAAAAGCAGTAATTATATGTAATACGATACTCATAATTTGTGCTTTTGAAAGGATAAATTTAACGTGTGATCAATTATTATAATGACGTTTGATAACATTTAACCGGTAGATGTCTTTAGCATTTCGCTCTAGAATACTCAAATATGTGTAAGCTTAAGAAACAACAGTCCGATGGCTAACTGTACAGACAGCGTTACTTAAGTCGCAAATTCAAACCCCTCGTTGGATTATCGTCACAAATCGCTCCTAGAGTAAGTACTTTGAGTTGGAGTAGAAGGTTTAATTATATTATGACTTCATCTAGATCGGTCACTAACTTAAGATTATTTAACTAAAGAAATAAAGATCTACATAATGATTCTTATTTTACGGATTTTATCGCGTTTTGTTTGAATAGTTGTTAATTATTTTTACGTTACTCCTGCTATTTTGCAGATCGTCCCTGCCATTACATCAGATTTGTAAACCACACGTCCTCGCAAAAGGACACAGATTTCCTATCAAGGATGATTCACGAGGCTATTAAAATTAAAAAAAACCATTCAAACTTCGATAGAGACGATGACTGGGTACTACTAGCTCCTTGGGATCACATAATGAATAACATTAACTTAAATACTTCTTCTTCACTTCATCGACTTCAAGATACCGTAAGCTTGTTCTGCGTAGATCGGACCACAAATTGATGTTCAAAAGCTGAAAGTAACTGAGGATAAATATGATAAGGACGTCATACACCTCAGGCCTTGTTGAAACGTCGGGAATTAAAGAAAAATAAAAAGTAAAAAGTCAAATTTAACGCGATAAAATCCGTAAAATTAGTTTTATTCACGAAAGGATTCTAGTTTTATTGGAACCTAATCTATTCTTTCTTCTTTTTCAGCCCGTAACAGTCCACGGCTATTATCCACCACGGCACCACGGCAAATTATCCCCAGGGATAATTTGCCTTAATCGTCTCACTTGACAGACGTATTGACAATCACAGGTTACCAGGCTTGTGTATTTTAGATTCGGTATATATACAAGATTGATCATCGCCATCTATCGGAGGCAATGAGAGTTTTTGGTGTTTTCTATAGTCGCCCCTTACGCCCTTAGAAGACGCAACCTCTAGCTTCACAAGCACAGTAACTAATATCATAAAAACATACATATGGATTATATATACATTTGGATTGTTAATATGTTATTCACAATCCAAATGTATTATATTTGAGGGCAATCAAAGCAATACGGAAGGAGTATGTTATGATGTTTAATGGAGGGAAACATGTCAACTTTTATCCAAAAAACCAAACCAAACCCAAAAAAATATATGCAAGCATGTTTGAGAGCAACGACCAGCAGTGGGTTAAAAATGTAAGATGTAATGAAAGTCTAGTGATATGGCGATATTACATATCGATATGACGATATAATTTAAAAATGTGTTAAAACAGTAAGATTGCAAATCAATATTTAAGAAGGAAATTATAAAAGATATGTAATATGAATTTCATTTCTGTTAATTATTAATTGTATAGTCAGACAGTATTGTTGTGTAATATTCTTCTTTTTTGCTTATTGCCTGTTTTTATGTTTAAACTTATTTATAAGATAACTTTTAAAAATCTAAGCACTAAATAATTAATATCATTAACTTGTCAATTAACAAGCGATAGTATATATATTATGTATATAAAGTAAGAACCTATAATTGGCATTAAGGATTATCTGAGAACTTCTGTTTATATTTATAACGTGCTGTTGGCTCTATGAACAATAAAGAAAAAAAAATTGTTGAAACTTGAACTCTTATATTACGTAGTTGTAACCGATCGTATTACAACAGCTTTCTAAGCTTAGGCTCGCAAATAACGCGTTCAGCGTCTAAGTTAATTCAATATCAGAGCAAGTAAGCACTTAAACAAACAAAACAAGAAGAGAAAAGTAATATTAAGAGACATCTAGGCCTCGTTAGTGGCGCAGACAGACTATCCCGGTGTTTGCACTTTGCGCCTAGGGTTGTCACATTTTATAATATTATGTGAATTACTTATTGTCATTTTGTTTTAAGACACCTAATAATTAAATTTTATCTTGTAAGTACGCCTTCAACTTAAGGGTTTTGAGCAATATTCATTCACTTCTTATTATTAATATTCAAAATGAAAAATTGAAGTGGCGGTAGCATAGAGGTTAAGCGCTCGCTTTAGTTTTATAGAATGCGAGCCTAGAACTTGGATTGATATCGATCCCCGACACATTTCTAAAGCAGTTAGTTGCTATTACCCATAGACATCTAAATCTATCCTCAATAAAGAATCAAAATGCAGATGCGTTGTCACCCGTGAGGACTAAAATGGAATG